TAAGTTGGAGAAGTGATGTGTCCTCCTTACATCTGTTTTCTATATAAAATTCTCAAATAGAGTTTATACTCTGCTGCCAGCAGCCTCCTGAAACTGACCATAATTTGAGGCAAAGGAGATGCCACAGAAAATATATTCCCTATTTCTAATATTGATTGCATCTGGTTGTTGCAAAAGGTCCCTAATTCGTCATTGGTTCCAAATTCTGACAACAAAATTCCTTATGCAATTACATAGCATTACAACTGTATTTTTAATATGTTTTATATGTCCTACTTGAGCTATTCTACTGTCTTATTGTTACCATTTTTGCTATCTAATGAATAAAATATTAGTCGTTAGTCACACAGGTTTGGTTTGGCTGAAGTTATTTCAAGTAGTCTGGGTCTAGTCTGATCTATAGTAATTGTGACCATGTGTACTTATTTCCATACAGATTTTTAGAAACAATAGGAATCTCTATTTTTTTTAAATGTACCATTAAAATTATTTGCAATTTTTTTTACAAAAGTTACAAGAAGAAAAATTAGCCACATGAACTAATTTGATCATATCTGGAGAGTATATCAACACTTTTCTGAAGTACCCTAATGTATTAGTTTTAAATGTCATATTATCTGTATGAGGTATAGTCTGGAAAGGTTTTGCCTCAAACTAGGCATGTCTAATGGGGTTTATGACAACATATGAATTTGACCCTGAACAGGGTCAGCCTTGAGGTCAGTGAATGCAATACAAATTGCATACTAGTCAAGCCTATAATTATCCCTGTTAGAAGTTAATGTGCTACCTAGTTCAGCAGACTTATGTACAGCTTCAAAAATGATCATCATATCCTAGGTACTTTCTAACATTTACAAAGAATCACATTTTACATGAGGGGATGTATGCAAAGTATTCATATACAGTGACTTGTAGCCAAGTCATTTTGTATGTTTGTATATTTGGGAAATTCAGAACATGGATTCTGTCTTGTTTGAACAAAACATATAGAATAAGAATACAAAGTTACCGTAATTAATTTTAATAGCTAACATACGGTATCATAAATATAGTGTATAAAGACCTTCAGGATATGTTTTATTTGCAGTGCTGGCATAAAATATGCTATATGTAGCATAACTAGCATTCATTAAATTGTGTGGTGACCCTCTACTGCATGGTCATAAGTAGCTTGTAAGATCCTTGTTGGAGGCACCATATATTGTTATTTGTTTGTGAAGTGTCTGGCACACTTTTAACACTTGATAAATAATAATTTACTCTGCATTTATTCAGACAAAAATGTCACTAGCCTTTCACTCTCTACCATGTTTCCCAATTCCCATTTCACTTTTATATTTGTGATTGGCTGAGTGGCTGTTCTGCTAAATTCCCCAAATGGGCCCCTAAGATAGGAGTATTGCAGTAAACAATTGTATGAATTAGTATGAGGTTTTTTAAACCATATCGTACTCTGCAGTTTTCATTATTGTGAGAGCCACTAAAATATATTATTGGGATAACAAAACTTATATCATGATTTTGGGGGTTGGAAAAGTTTAACTGTTTGTTTTGATTTATATTTGAATGCCTCTGTTGGTGGGATTAAAATTCAGTTTCTCACAGTATTTTCCCAGACATATTGTGCTGGAAACCTCTATTAAGCATTTATTTGTGCAAGTTTCTAGTCTTGTTGAAATCTAGATTGAAGAGAGGCTGATTTTGGTGAAGTGTTTGAATTTTCAAATTAATTAACGAGAGATGGTCCTGAGTCAAGACCCTGGATATGAAACGCCTCCTGAATTTTGAGGAAGTTCATCTCTGGATCTGAATTTTGTGACTTGTTTCCTATCATATCTCTCTAATGGTACAAACCAAACCACAGATACAAACATCGCAAAACGTGGGTCAAATTTGGCTTCAAATCCTAATTTTGCATCTCAGGTCTATCTGTGCCAAAAGCTGAACTAAACCTCCAAAACTTTGAAGGTTCACCTTTCAGTATTTCAGTATGTACCTATCCCTGCTCTGAGGTAATACATACCAGAATATGGATCTTTTGTTCATTTTAATGGGCTAGCATCTTCCCCCCCTTTCCCCCCCACACAAAAATAGTTTGGGCTCAACACAGAGCACTAACATGTATGATCTAATATTCAAAAGATGGTCAAAGTCCTTCACTCTTCCTGGGCTTTGGTGACAGATGCTCAGTCATCATTGGAAAGAAGAACTTTTCAGCAATCTCGGAGTGTTTTAGGGGCTGTGTTGAGAGGTAGCCATAGGAAAAGCCGTCAGCTTTCTTTGATCAAGAAGACCATGTGTTGGGAAGTGAGGACTTGAGGATGGGTTGTAGTGAAATTAAAATTATCAGGTCACCTGAGGGCTTTGAGACATACTCAGAATTAGGGCTGTCAAGTGATTAAAAAAATTAATCACAATTAATCGCACTGTTAAATAATAATAGAATACCTTTTATTTAAATGTGTTTGGATGTTTTCTACGTTTTCAAATATATTGATTTCAATTACAACACAGAATACGAAGTGTACAATGCTCACTTTACATTTATTTTTGATTACAAGTATTTGCGCTGAAAAAAACAAAATAAATAGTATTTTTCAATTCACCTAATACAAGTACTGTAGTGCAATCTCTTTATCATGAAAGTTGAATTTACAAATGTAGAATTATGTACAAAACGTAAGAATGGTCATACTGGGTCAGACCAAAGGTTCATATAGCCCAGTATCCTGTCTTCTGACAGTAGCCAATGCCAGGTACCCCAGAGGGAATGAACAGAACAGGTTATCACCAAGTGATCCATTCCCTGTCTCCCATTCCCAGCTGCTGGCAAACAGAGACTAGGGACACCATCCTGGCTAATAGCCATTGATTAACCTATCCTCAATGAACTTATCTAGTTGTTTTTGAACCCCCTTACAGTCTTGGCCTTCACAACATCCTCTGGCAAAGAGTTCCACAGGTTGACTGTGCATTGTGTGAAGAAATAAGTCCTTTTTTTGTTTTAAACCTGTTGCCTATTAATTTCACTTGGTGACCCCTAGTTCTTGTGTTATGAGAAGGAGTAAATAACACTTCCTTATTTACTTTCTCGACACCAATCATGATGTTATAGACCTCTATCATATCCCCCCTTAGTTGTCTTTTTTCCAAGCTGAAAAGTCCCAGTTTTATTAATCTCTCCTCATATGGAAGCCATTCCATACCCCTAATAAAAATTTTAGAGTCTGCAAGTCCACTCAGTCCTACTTCTTGTTCAGCCAGTCGCTCAAACAAGTTTGTTTACATTTGCAGGAGATAATGCTTTCCCATTTTTTGTTTACAATGTCACCTGAAAGTGAGAACAGGCGTTCTCATGGCACTGTTGTAGCCGGCGTTGCAAGATATTTACATGCCAGATGCGCTAAAGATTCATATGTCCCTTCATGCTTCAACCACCATTCCAGGGGACGTGCATCCATGTTGATGATGGGTTCTGCTCGATAACAATCCAAAGCAGTGCAGACTGATGCATATTCATTTTCATTATCTGAATCAGATACCACCAGCAGAAGATTGATTTTCTTTTTTGTTGGTTTGGGTTCTGTAATTTCCGCATCAGAGTGTTGCTCTTTTAAGACTTCTGAAAGCATGCTCCACAGCTTGTCTCTCTCAGATTTTGAAAGACACTTCATATTCTTAAACCTTGCGTCAAGTGCTGTAGCTATCCTTAGAAATCTCACATTAGTACCTTCTTTGCCTTTTGTGAAATCTGCAGCAAAAGTGTTCTTAAAATGAACAACTTGTGCTGGATCATCATCTGAGACTGGTATAACATGAAATATATGGCAGAATGCCGGTAAAACAAAGCAGGCGACATACAATTCCCCAAGGAGTTCAGTCACAAATTTAATTAACACATTATTTTTTAATGAGCGTCATCAGCATGGAAGCATGTCCTCTGGAATGGTGGCCAACGCATGAAGGGGCAAACGAATGTTTATCATATCTGGCACATAAATATTTTGCAATGCCACCTACAAAAAATGCCATCCAAATGCCTGTTCTCACTTACTTGTAACATTGTAAATAAGAAGAGGGCAGCATTATCTCCTGTAAATGTAAACAAGCTTGTTTGTCTTAGCGATTGGTTGAACAAGAAGTAGGACTAAGTGGACTTGTAGGCTCTGAAGTTTTACATTTTTTTGGATTTGAGTGCAGTTATGTAACAAAAACAAATCTACATTTGTAAGTTGCACTTTCACGACAAAGAGATTGCACTACAGTACTTGTATGAGGTGAATTGAAAAATACTATTTCTTTTGTTTATCATTTTTACAGTGCAAATATTTGTAATAAAAATAATATACACTTTGATTTCAGTTACAACACAGAATACAATATATATGAAAATGTAGAAAAACATTTATTTAATACATTTCAATTCACATTCTATTGTTTAACAGTGCAATTAAAACTGCAATTAATCACCATTAATTTTTAATGGTGATTAATTTTTTTGAGTTAATTGCGTGAGTTAACTGCAATTAATCAACAGTCCTACTCAGAATATCTCACACTCCTGCACCACATTCTCCTAGTGGGGGTAAGTGGAAAGAATATGCATTTCTTGAATAAAGTTCTGATGTGAGTTTCTCTTACTGGTAGACAGTATCCTACAAATAAAGGATGATCTTTACTTACTGGCGCTGGTATGAATTACATTTTGGAGCTGAGTTGTATTTACTACCGTTATTTGAAGTCCAAGCTTTGTGGTCCCTTTTGAACTGAAAAGTTTAACTAATTTGAAGAAGCTGATGTCTTGTCACCTATATACATGGCTACTGAAGACCAGGAGAAGATTGAGATAATCATAGATTTATACCACATTTAAATAATAAAAAGGGTTGAGCAGCATTCAATTTAACTCACAAATTAGCATTTCTAGCTCTTCTTTGATAATGAGAGCTTTTGTAGCTTGGTAATTTTGACAATAGCATTTTGTTTTATAATTCCAGATTATCAAACTGCTGGATGGAAAGCGATCTCAAACTGTAGGAATTTTGATATCCAGTTTGCACCTGGAAATGAGGGATATTCAACAAGGTGAGAGTTACAAAACTCTTGATATAACTTATTTACATGGAAATTTTCTCATATATTTTCTAAAAGTGAATGAAAATGGGTGCTCTTATGTGTGTTCCTTTTTTGGTGTCAGTATGATAACAAGAAAAAGTAGAATTAGTTTCCCAACTAAATACATATGAGAAACCCAGCTCTTTTCCCTGGTAATTAATTGACTTTAGATTTTGATTTTATATGTCACATCCAGTGTTATGATTTTAGTGTTGTGTTTTTCATGTATAACTGTTTTGGATTTTAAGAGTGGTTCTATTGGATTGCCTTCTATATGTGTGCTCTCAAAGCTGTTTATGTTGGCTCCCTTCTTTGTTTCCTCTTCTCTCTCCCTCTTCCCCGTCCCTATCCCCAGAGGCCCTCAGCTCAGGGAAGCTCAAGTGAGAACTTACAAATAATATTTTGGGGTTTTTAGGTGTTTAATTTTTTGCTTTGATGGCAAGTGTAAAAAACTTATACAAAAGTGAAAATACCAAAACCATATGACAACAAGAGGGGTGAACACTGAGCTGTACATTTTCAAGTGATGGGGGCTATTCTGTGCATACGTCCTGTTATTGATAGAAATGAGCCAAAGCAGCTTGGAAAAAAATGTATCTGTCTCTGACTATAGAGTTTTCAGGGGACATAGATAGATCAGGTATTTTGGTGCTTGTGTTACATATTAAAAAGGACACTATTTAGGTAATTTTCATATTTTAAAAAGCTTTTTACTCTTGTTTAAAACAACTGCTGGAAAGCTCCAAATTGAAGTCTGCTTTCTTGCGTGTGATGGAGGGAAAACAATGGCATAGACTGGCTTGGAATTGTGGGGTGTTGAGATGCTGCTGGCATTGATTATTATTAATTTTAGAACAGCCTTGGAGCATTCTAGCTTTTTTTAAAAAAAAAACAAGGGCTTACAGATGGTTACAAGAAGAAGAAAGAAATGAGGCAAAACTTTGAGCCTTCCCATAATGTGTCAGAGGTATCATAATGATAGACGCTAGCTGCAGTAATGAATTTTGTGAATAGTTTGCTGGCAAGACTAATAAGAGGCAGCAGCTGTAACATAAAAACCCTGTGATGTTCTTACTTCAAGTTTCTTCAGATAAATTTTCAAGGCCTCTTATTTCATGCTGTGAGATGTCTTGTAGATAAGACACTTATGCTGCAGAGTATTAATGTGGCATTTTTATATTTCACAACAATACAAATGCTATTAATCATGATCTGTCTGATGAGACTACTGGACAAAAGAATCATAACTCCCCAGGACTAAGGATGGCACCCAAATGCTATGAGGATGGTCCTGAGAACCCCATATTATTATAATGATGATAGTAATAGTTATACTAGTTCATCTTCTGCTTCATGCTGTCACATTCAGCCTATTCCTCACTAAGACTTATTTCTATTTCTTTACGTAGACTTCTCACCACTATGGAACCTTGACTATTGCTAAGAGGATTACTTGCTTGTAGGGCTGCTAACTATCACCATTTAATCTCGTGGCTGGGAAAGGATCATTATAATGATATGCATAACTCATGAGTGCCTTTGGAATACTATATTCTTCTTTGAGTGATGATGGTCCCTACCTGTATTCCACTGAGGGTTATGCACATGCGCCATACATCCACAGCTTTTAAAAGTAGTAGTGTCCATTGGTCCACGCATGTGCCCTTGTTCTGCCTCATGGTTTCAACTGAGGCAATAAAGGGTGGGGCAGACCGACTGCACCCTCAATTCCTTCTCAATGTTGCATGGTCCAAGTCGGAGCTTCTGCTTTTCTTTCATCTCTTGTGATGCACTTTCAGAATTTCTTGTATATACTTAGCATTTTATTGTGGGGTGTTATTTTTGGTAGTAGCAGTAGTAGTAGGTGGTGGTGGTGGTAGTAGTAGTTTTCTTAGGATTTAAGGACTTTGGGACACTGCTTTGGTGGTTTCCCTGCCGTCCACCCCTAGCACCCACACCTGGATACTGGATTATGCTGAAGATGCTGAGCTCAAGATCTGCACTTCCTGCCCTCACTTGTTTTCAATCAGCGACAGCACCAACCCTGCTTTTATTTCTTGGGGGAAGCCCATGTCACATTCAGGGGCAGTGTCTGCCTCTCCTTCCTTGCCAGTACCCGCAGTTAGATCAAGGCTGAGCAACCTCTCTGTACATCAGCCTGAGCAGTCGAGGAATGTGCCCCCTACCATGGAGCTCCAGTCCAATTCCACCAATACCAGTGCTAAGGCCTAAGAAAGACACTGCATCCTCCACGAGTTCTGACCATGGAGAAACGGCATGTTTCAAGGCCCACAAGCACTGCAAGAAGTCACATAGAATGCCAGACCCGCTGATTCCAGTCACTGAGTCTCATATCTCCTCTTCATCAGTATTGCCGGAACCACAGGAATCATCAGTTCTGAAGCAGCCTTCTGCCTATGTTCCAGCTCTGATTCTGTCTGTGGAATGACACTGGGAGACTCAAGTCGGTTCCTGGACCTCATGAACTGTTTGTCCCTAGATGAGATGAAATCCCTGCATCTTCTAGTGCATTTGGCTCCAAAGAGACTCTGGTCCCCTGATTTGGACTTGCCACCTTCAGGTCATGTTCCTGAGTGCTCCCCTGCGACATTCTCAGTTTTGCCGGTTCCGGCGGCTCCGCCTTTTGAACAAGGATCTGACTTCTCAGTGTTGGAAGATTCAGATGGTGCACATGATCCACCATTCCCATACCAACAGCAAAAATATCCGAAGGCTCTGCTGGCCCAGTGGTAATATTCTCCCTTCCCTCAACCCAGGAGCCATTGGTACCCAGCTCCATGGGGACCACCACAGCAACTGCCAGATCCGCCTGGTTGGCCATACTGGGAGTCTTGGTCCCAGTATCTGCCTTTAGAACCTTTTGGATCTGTTCAAAAGAAGTCCCCCATCTCACCAGTCTGGCCTTCATTGGGTAGACATTTGGCACCACGGTTGGAGGATGCACCAATCAGCCTGACTCCAATGGTACTGCCAGATCTGGAGCGGCTCCCCTCCTCGTCTCCAGATGTGGCAATGTCCTCAACTCCTTCCTCCCCCCATGGATGACTACCACCAGTTCCAGGAGTTGTTAAGGAGGGTGGTTGAGGCCCTCCACATTCCACTGGAGGAGGTGCAGGACAGCCAGCATCGGTTACTGGACATTTTGCATGCATCAATATCAGAACAAAGTAGTGCTACCGATCAATGATGCCATTCTCCAACTGGCCTGCACCATCTGGCATACCCGGCAACTTGTGCACCCACCCCGAAGGAGGCAGAAAAGATGTACTCTGTACTGGGGAAGGAGTCTGAGTTTCTATTTTCTCACCCCTCACCCAATTCCCTGGTTATTCAAGCTGGCACTGAGTGGGCTAGACAGCAGCCCCACATTCCACTCCGACTGACGAGGGTAAGAGACTGGACCTTCTGGGTTGTAAGGTCTTTTCATCTTCCAGCCTTCAGTTTCGCATCTCTAATTACCTGGCATTACTGGCCAGGCATGGCTTTTTGAATTATGGCCAGTTAGCAGAATTTGCAGACAAGCTTCCCCAGCAGGGCCATGCCTATTTCCAGGCTATTTTAGAGGCAGGCAGCTTGGTTGCCAGGACAACGCTCCAGGCCATGGTAGATTTGGCGGACACGTTTTGTGCACTAAGGCCACAGGGATTATCGTGAGGAGAGAATCCTGGTTACATTCTTCTGGTTTCCCAAGGAGGTACAGAACACAACTGAGGAACTCCCCTTCAATGACTCTCACCTCTTCAACTAGAAGACTGACATTCTCTATTCTCACTCAAAGACTTTAGAGCTAATCTGTGATCTCTGGGCATTTATACACCAGCACCCAAATGCAAATTCTATCGGCCACCTACTCCACAATGATACAGAGTGCCTCAGTTTTTCCACCAGTGGTCTTATGAGCCTCCCCACAAGCATCAAAACACCCAATGGCCCCATCTGCCTGGCCCATCAGCACAGTCCTTGACACCACACACTCAATCTTTGCATAAGCTATGTTTCTGAGTGCATCTAGAGAGCTGTCAACCAAATTGCAACCCACCGTTCTTGCACTCCACTCCATTCAGGGGTCATCTAGTGCTATTTCTACCAGCCTGGAACATGATAACATTGGGCAAGTGGGTCCTGGGTGTCATTTAACATGGCTATATGATCAAGTTCACAACGCTACCTCATCCACATCCCCCATCCTGATCCTGCCTCCAGGACCACTCTCACAGCAGTATCCTTGCCCTGGAGGTGGACTACCTCCTACAGAGAGAGGCAATAGAGCCTATGCCACAGCCTTTCAAGATACAGGGTTCTATTCCACCTACTTCCTGATATGCAAGACTCTTACTGTCATGTAGATATCCATTTGACCCTGTAATAGGTCCGTGCCGGGGCTCGACCCTTCTGGACAGGAGGGGAGCCACACCGACTCGCTACTGCTGGGATAAACAGTCAGTTAGTTCAAAAGCTCCGGCCCTCCGGTGCAGGGGCGGAGCAAAACCTTCAGCTAGCTCAGGGCCCAGGCCCTCAGACAGGGGCTGGGCGGCAACCGTTAGTTCGGGGCTCAGGCCCTCTGGTGCAGGGACTGAGCAGACAACAGTTCTTTCAAGGCTCAGGCCCTCAGGTGCAGGGGCTAAGCAAGCAAACAGTTAGGGAGCCCAGGCCCTGGGTC